CCCAGCCCTTCCATGCCAGGAGGCGTCTACACGGGCAGCAGCATGCTTCTGCCAGCTTCCGGGAGCGGCCGCCTGGGTGCCGGCTCCGTGTCCCCCTGCTCGGTCCCCGGCAGCCACAACTCTGCCGGGTAGCACCTGCCATAGGATGGGGGAGCTGGGGGAGGGCGCCAGGCCTGGAAGAGGCTTCGGGGCGCAGCACTGCCTGGGCGAGGCGAGTCCGGCGGGCTCTGCAGAATGGGAAACCCAGACCCGACCCATCTCCAGACTCCACCCAGACTCAGGAGCCTGGCAAGTTCAGAGTCTGATTTCTGTGCAGTGAGCACTGGGTGGAATGAGATTCAAGGTGGCTGCAGAAAAGAGTCTGGAGGGTTTTTAGGGGGACAGACCCCAAGATAACCAGGTTCTCCAGATGCAGAGCCGAGGCTGACAGTCACTCACAAGCAGCATCTTTCTCGGTGCCAGGAGGCTTGCCAGCATTTCTGAGATGGAATGTTCTGGAACAGTCCAACGATATCAGAAACCTCATTAGCAGAGTTGGGGGAGCTGCTGACAAGAGTCCAAAGAACAGGCCCACAGGGAAGCTTGGGAAGTGTCTCCAACCCGGAGAAGTGTTTGGCACCAGGTCACCTCGGAGACGTGGACTAGTTCACGTTCACTCAGATTCCAAAGTAGATTTGAAAACTGGGTTGTTTAAAGTCATAAGCATAACGTGGCACGCTTCCTGATGACAACCCTGATGTTTACCACAAAGCGTTGCCTAATGCAGCAATCAAAAGTCGCCCCGTCAAAAGTGTGGGCGAGGGTGGGATCCTAGCGTGGCCGTGGCCACAGCCGATCCGAGGAGAGTTTCCACTCACCCGGCGGCCAAGGGCGCCCACCTCCCCACACAAGTGAGCGGCATTCGCGGCCCCTCGTGCTGACCTTGAGCAAGAGTGTAGCAAGAGGAATGAATGTGGCCGTCTGGCTCTCCTCTGGAGGGTGGAAGGGACACCAGCCCCGCATCCGGCTGAGAGGTGGCTCCCAGGCGCTCCACCCTCGGGGACTCGCCATCCGCCGTGTGGGTCTCGGCAGGAGTCACACAGACGGGAAAGACCATCCTGTTCCACACCGCCTTCACTCATTGCCCTCTTGGTCTCACTCCGTGCACGCTCCCCAAGCCCAAGAGTTGGGGGGCACACTGGCCTTCCCTTTCTGACATTTGGCGTGAAGCCGAGCCACGTGGAGTCTTGTATTTATGCAGTCTACTGGCCAGCCACCAAGCCCCACGGCTCTTCCTGGTAGCGCGAGTTTCAGTTGTGGGTGAGTGGACGTCATCCACAGTGATTCTGTTGTCTCGAGGAGGCTGCGTAGCCTGGTGGTAGGAGAGCCTCACAGGTCAAGGCCAGAAGAGCCGACGCCCTGGTGCTCAGAAGGAGGTTCCTGACTGCAAGGGGTCAGGGGCGCCGGCCGCAGGCTGGCCTTCGGGCTCCACTGGGGAGCACGGGGTGGGAACAACCCTCGAGACCTGGGTCTCAGGAAGGTGACGTTAGCTGGACCGGCTGGCTGCACCAGGGGCCTTGCTGAGAAATTCGAACAATTGCCTCTGGTCACCTGTAACGTGTGTCCTGGGCTGTGGTCACAGCACACTGCTTTCCATCAGCTCACACCCTACTTACAGGTGCTGTCATTCTCACACCAGCGTGGAGAGCCCCCCAGAGGTCATAGGGGCTGGATCTGAACCACTGGGTGGTCACAAGCAACACATGATCTCCCGTTGCCTGAGGCAAGCAGCGGATGCGTGCAGGTGGAAAGACACAACCCTCTGTGATTCGTGTCCTATTATTCACACTGGGGCATCACAAAGTATTTCCACTCGTCGTCCAGATCTGGTCCACTGCCTGGAGTCTGGTGGGGCTCCGCGTTTTGGTTTTTCGGATTCTCTTACAGCACATCACTTCCACAGGGAGGCGAATTGTGGCCAAAACCAAGACGGCAGATGACAATGCATACCTCACTACAAAGCGGTGCTGGTGACGTGTGGGGTTGACACTGTGGGCAAATGTGTTTCTAACACCGGGTTGTGGCAGCCGCATCTTGAATCTGTGCTCCCTTCTGGCTCCCTCGGCCTCCATCAGAAAGGCCGAGAAGGCATTCTGACTCTCCCCGCATTCACGCACGGTCTGCAGCTTTACGAGCCTTCTCAGGCCGCGTTCCCCAAAAGTTTGGGAATGCCGCTCCCACACAGGATGGGGGCTCCTGGGTATCCCCAGACATACCCTGTGGCCGTTTTCGAGACTCCGACACAATGGGCCACAATCGCTGTGCCGTAGCGCATCCTAATAAGGGTCTTGGTTTTTACATTTCGTATCTGAAACGTGTGAACCAGTGACTTCTAGCTGGGAAGTTGTAGCACGGAACCAGATGTTCTCCGGATGAGGATGAGTAGTGAGTTGCTGCAGAGAGTCCTTGGGCCGTCGGGTTAAGCCAGGCCTCTGCCGGCCACCGGTGCCGTAACAGCCCCAGACTCCAAAAGACGAACCTAACCGACCGTTCCTTGAAAGAAGGAACTCTACTGTGGGTGGTGAGGTTGGAGCGCGGGAGGGAGGAGGCGGCTCCGCACCACAGGGCGGACACGTCCCGCTGTGTGAAGGTGTGGCCGGCCGGTCCGGAACAGCAAACGGCAGCCCCATCACCAGGCACTGTGACGAGGTGCACGGGAGGGGCAGGTAGGTGGTCAAGGTCCTGTGATGGTGACTCAGTGAGCGAAAGGTGACCGCACAGCAGGCTTGCGCCAAGCCACCGGCCTGTGGACAGTGGATCAGAAGTGTTCACGGACGGGCAGGGTCCTAACACTGATACCGCACAGCTACGCAAGGCGAAGTACGAACACCCACACAAAGGCTCCTTTTAGGCAAGAAGTTTGATCACATTCCTCAGGCACAGATTCTGCTGCAAACCCTACTTTTCATCTGTGAGAATCACAGCAACAAGAAAGTACAACAGAGAAGACCAATTCCGCACAACAGGCATGGAAGACAGCCTGTTGCCGTGACGGACCCCGACTGGCCGAAGTCGCCGGAAAGCACCGCAGGGCACCCTTGAGGGTCCTTCGCCACAGCCAAGGCTTACTTCCGCCACGAGGCTCACCCTCTGAGGAGCCCGAGTCACCAGACATCTTCAAACACGGTGGAAATCAGCTCAAGAATTGGTGACCTGCCTTCACTGCAGGTGGCTTTTCCGACTCTCCTCTAAAAGGGCCCCCAGACACCAGCACCCTCTTAGTGCTTCGGGACACACACCTGTCCCCAGGAAGCCACGCTGAGCCAGGCAAAGGGCAGGTGCAAAGGGAAGGACGATGATTCTCATCACCACGCAGGTGGTGTGCGATGCTGGGGATGCTGGGCGCCTCCTCCCGGCTGTGTGGCTCCGGACAGGGGGGCTTGGGCCTTCAGACACGCCTCCCGGCTGCGCAGCTCCTGCGAGTGGCCTCGTTTTCCCACAGCCCCTCCCCCAACGTCACACCCATAGACGCACCATGACCGGAGGGTGTTCCATACGTCTCTTCTGTTCGTGTGCTGGTTCTTGTCCCTTACAAAGCTGGCAAAGAACTCAGATTGTGCATGACGACGCGCTCGGAGGGATGATTTCATTGCCACGTGTGGGAGCCGAGAATCTCTGGTAAGAAATCTGGCATTTAATATACTTGGCTGGTTCAATCAGTTAAGTGTCCGACTTCGGATCGGGTCATGATTTCAGGGTACATGGGTTCAAGCCCTGTGTCAAGTTCTGTGCTGACAGCTCAGAGCCTGGAGCCTTCTTTGGATTCTGCATCTCCCTCTCTCTCTGCCCTTCCCCCACTCCCTCTCTCTCTCTGTCTCTCTCTCTCTCTCTCTCTCTCCTAAAAATAAGTAAACATTAAAAAAAGAAAAAGTGGGACGCCTAGGTGGCTCAGTCAGTTAAGTGTCGGACTTCAGCTCAGGTCATGATCTCACAGCTTGTGAGTTCGAACCCCGTGTCGGGCTCTGTGCTGACAGCTCAGAGCCTGGAGCCTGCTTCGGATTCTGTGTCTCCCTCTCCCTCTGTCCCTCCCTCGCTCACCCTCTGTCTCTCTCAAAAAATAAACATTAAAAAAAAAGATATCTAACATTTAATATACTTCGTGGCAATGAAGTACATTACCTTGTGCTGACCCAATAAAGTTTTCATATAAAATTATGTTAAAGTTAGCCCTCATATTAACATCTCTTACTTTATGACTTATGCTTTTGTGCACGTACCTTAACTAATCACCATAAACAATCCTTTGGGGGTGGACATGATTTCTCCACTTGGCAAGCAGGGGCCAGGGCTCCGTGGAGCTGACTCACCCACCACAGCACATGCAGCCTGTACAGGGCAGAGCTGGGGTGGGGACTTGAGGCCTTGGACTCTTCACATGGCAAGTGTTTATTGTTTTTTTGGCAAATATGATTCCAAATTCATGAGAGAACAGTAAAAATATGAAAGGCCTGTCAGTTTTTTACTGATAAGATTTACAAAATTACCTCACATTTCTTTGCTGACACACATGTTAATGTATTTGCTCTTTGTCAAGAGTCCTGTTTTGGGTTTCTTTCAAAGAACGGTTCCTCTTCTGTTCTACGTGACCAAGTAGGCTTCAACTGTTCTGTGTAAAACCAACAACATCATGTATGTTGACTTTATATTATTATTACCATTTTAAACAGTTCTGTCCCCTCCATATACTGTCTATATATAACGATTGCATTTACAGGCCAGTGGGGTCCCATCCTGTTTGCCACTTAGAGCCACGTGATTTTGGGGAGAAGCAAACCTGTAATCCTATGTTAACCGCACACCACAAAGTTGTTGGGAATACTGTTGATACTAAAAAGTATAGCACTTTGTAAATGTTAATGACCTGTAGAAATGTAAGAAGTTGTTCGATTTTTGCCTAGAGGGAGGAAGGAGCTCAAGAAAGGATAGTTGTCTGTCTGAAGCCAAGGATTGGTTGGACTTACCTAAATATTGGATTTTCAAGGAGGATCCGGCCACGTAAGCGTGAGGGCGATGGGAGAGGCTGAGGGAACTCACGGGCGCCCGAGGGAGAGGAAGGGCACCAGCAGAGCTCTGCGGGGCTGTCCAGCAGTTCAGCAGGTGACTGTGGCCACAGAGTCCTGATTATCCCAGAGGCTTTCTGTGCAAGTGCCACGGAGACATAGGAGGCATATTTATCTAACCTCCTGATAACACAAAAAAGGGCATTATAGTTAATAACTGAGAGAATCGTGATTCAAAATTATTTTCAACTTCAGAACATAGGAAGTTTCTGTAACAACAATAGGACTTGTTGAAAGGATCTGAGAAGGTGATGGAGAAGCAGAACAGCTAATGGTCAAGAACAAAAATGCTGGGCCAGGCCACCTGGGTTCAAACCCAACTCTGCCACTGTTAACTGTTTGACCACAGGCTAGTGAGCAGCTTCCCGTGCCTTGGTTTACCCACCCACCTTGTGGGGTTGTAGGAATTAAGTGAGTTAATACGTAGTTAAGCGTTTCGAATAGTGCTCAGCACATGGTCACAAGTCCATAGGCTTACCACGACATGTGTTACCTGAGGGAGTCGCCACACTGTTAGCAGAAGTTACAGTAGTAAGTGTCCAGATGCACCTCCCTTATCAACTTTCTCCTCTGTCAGACGCCAGAGGGCTTGTCTCCACTGGCCCCCCCTTGATGTTCCTAATGCACTTTGTGGGGCTAATTGCAACCCTCTGCCTTGGATCAGGCTTTGTCTTCTCTGCCCTGTGTTCTTGGGACTTAGCAAGTCCTTTTTCTGCAGTCTGCAGGGGAGTCAGGGCGCGGGCTGCCCTCTGGCATGGCAGTGTGAGGATAGGTCTACTTACAGGGAGAAGATGAGTTTTTGATTTTCAGAAATGCCCGGTTTGACACATCTGAAATCACGCAGGTGGGCATTTCACAATTGATTGGAAATGTCAGACTGGCATTGAGAGAGAAGTTGGGACTGGAAATATCTGTTTTTTTCAGAGGAATCCATGCAAGGCAACCGTCAGGGGACCTTAAAAGAGAGACTTCATGGAGGAAGAGCAAGAGCTGGAGGGCAAAATCTTGAGGACAAGCTGGGCGGGGAGACAGGCAGGTAAGTTAGCCAACAGAACAGGCAATGAGAGATGTCCGGGGAATGGAGACAGGAGGGTTTTAAGCAGATGGGAAGCAGTTGGGAAGACAGAAAGCGATGGCCAAGGCATCAGAGAGAGGTTGACAGTTGAGGCTGGCTGGGGGCGGGGGGAGTAGGAGCCCAGGAGGCAGG